TGGAGTGATTGTGGTTGTATTTAAAAGTCTCACAGCCCAAGGATAGAAACTATCTTTAAACCTGTTTGTTCGGCTGACTATACTTTGATGCCTTCTGCCTGATGGTAGAAGTGCAAAGAGATACTGACCAGGGTGTGAATCATCTCTGAGTATCTTCCTTACTTTGCTAAAGAAGCGAGATCTGGTGATGTCATCCAGTGGTGTCAGAGGGCAATCAATGGTTTCTTGTTCCAAATTGATCATTCTCTGTAGTACCTTCCTGTCTGCAGCTGTTAAGCCAGCATACCATACAGTAATGCAATATGTGAGGACACTTTCTCTGTTGGACCAATAGAAAGAGGTCGTCAGCTGTTGTTCCACCTGAACAACAGCTGGACTATAAGGAAATGAAGCCTCTGTTGGGCCTTTCCAATCACCAGAGATGTGTTGTTTTTCCAGGTGAGATCTAGAAAGAGGTCATCAACCACAATCACTCCATGCACACGCTCCAAGCACTTCAATATTATTAAAAACATGCCAGTTTCCGAGACCCGAGTTCTGGTCACATGTCTGTGGGGACTCTACGACAGTCTTAATAAGCACAAGGACCAGTCATAAGTCACATTTTCAATGCTGTTGTGATTTTGAACAATCGCTAAACAAAGTGATTGTACGTTGAAAACTACCCATGCACATGATCCTACACTCAAATGCAATGAAATTAGTTAAGAAAATGAGATAGATTACTGAATGACATTATAGGTAGTCTTTGACTTACGACTACAATTGAGTCCAAATTTTCTGTTGCTAAGCAAGATGGTTGCTAAGAGAATTTCCCCCCACCTTACGATCTTTCTTGCCACAGTGGTTAACTGAATCACGGCATTTGTTAAGTGAATCTGGCTTACCCCATTGATTCTGCTTGTCAGAAGGTCACAACAGGTGAACGCATGACACTGGGACACGACAACCGTCATAAATATAAGTCAGTTGCCCAGCATCTGGCCTCTTTTGATCACGTGACCACAGGGATGCCAAAATAATCATAATTCACTTTTTAAATTGCTGTTGTACCCACGAATGGTCACTCAATGAACTGTTCTAAGTCGGGGACTAGTTGCTCAAAAAATAGAGGTACTTTGGAGAAGTTACACCTGCTGTCCATTTGGCAGTCATACATTTGGAGGGAAGAAGTGCCTTTTCCTATGTGGTTTTGAATTTGCAGAAATATCTACTGACATTCTGCACCCACAAAGAGAAGCTTGCTTAGAAAACACATCCTGACATAGAAATCCTGTGTCAGATTTCCTTTGCCCCTTGGCATCCCCCAGAGTTAAGAATGGAAGTGCAGGGATAGCCCCCTCTCCCATCTTGTTAAAATAAGAGGTCAAGCACTCCAGCCTGGCTTTTTCTCCCTCCCCACCACCACCTTCACCCTTGCTTGCTTTGCAGTTTGTCTCATTAATTACAATTCTCCTCAGGCTACATTATTTGCTCACAAGGGAGGGTGATGCCTCCAATTTTCCTTGGCCGCCAGGCTCCCAACAGGTGCTCTGCATTTTCAGACAAGCCCTGGACTTCCTGGATCGGTGCGTTGCAAGCCTGCGGAGTGCCTGGTTACAGGCACAAAGGAATGGGTAGCCGAAGGAGTTTCCCCTAACACGCCAAACTTTAATAGGGGAGGACAGAGAAGCCAAGAGACCCAACCCAGCCTCTGGATTCATCTGTTTGCCTCTCATTTGAAACAACAGGTGAGCAGGTGAAACGAAAGAGGATCCATACCCGGAACTCTTAAGGAGGAAGGTATGTTTGCAAAAGTACAAGTGGAGTATGTAAGCCCTGCAGCACAGAGGGAAAGAGCAGGTCTCCCACAAGCTTCCTCTGGAGCCAAAGAAATGACTTCAAAGGTAGGGCTTTGGAGTCAGGGAGGGTTTTCCGAGGTGCTGCTAGGCTCCCTGAATTGTGGGAGATGAAACAGGCAGCATTCAGTGGGGGCTTGCGAAGATGAATAAGAAGCAGGCAGCAGAGATGGTGAGAAGCTGACCTTCCTACCTGTCTCTCCCCTCCCCCTGCCACTTTTTGATAAGGGAGATGCAAGTGGTACATGGGGGAGAGGGGAGATGATGTCTGGAGGGCACAGTTGTGGGTAAAATGTGGCTAATTGTAAAGGCGAAGGTGCCCAGGTGGAATTTATGCAACTGGCTTCTAACTAGCAACTTTACAAACAACAGATGGGGCTGTAACTTCTGCTTTTATCTGGCCATCTTAATTGAGGTTTGTATGGATCAATAGTCACGATTTTTCATTCCTCCACTTTCACCGAAAGAGCTTTTGCACATTTAAGAGGAAGAAAGCATTCTCCGGAGAACAAGTAAGATTTCTCCATTATACCCCATTTTTTATTTTTTTTTACGCAGACACACCTTTATTATTTTTATAAATAACCCAAGGCGGCAAACATACTTAATATTTCTTTCTCCTGCTCTTTTCCTCACAATAACAACAACCCTGGGAGGTTGGTTGGGTAGAAAGAGAGAGAGAGAGAGACTGTGACAAAAGTAGTCCTTGTCTTACAATAGTTCATTTAGTGACTGTTCAAAGTTACAACTGCACTTTAAAAAGTGACAGGATTATTTTTCATACTTATGTCGGTTGCAGCATCCCCATAGCCACATGACCAAAATTCAAATGCTTGGTAACTGACTCATATTTACAACAGTTGCGGTGTCCCGTGGTTATGTCATCTCCTTTTTGCGAACTTCTGAGTAGCAAAGTCAGTAGGGAAACTAGATTTACTTAACAATCAAGTTACTAACTTAACAACTGCAATAATTCTCTTAACAATTGTGGTAAGAAAGGTTTTAAAATGGGGCAAACTCATTTAATGTTTCACATAGCAACATAAATTTTGGGCTCAATTGTGGTTGTAAGTCAAGGACTACTTGTAGCCCAAAGGAACCTAGACATTATTCATGCCTAAAGCAGGATTAGATTTTACAGTCTCCTGGGTTAACTCTGATGAGATAATCACTAGGTCAAACTGGCTTTTTAAAGGCACAGGACATTTTAAAGGAATGGGATGTAAGGGTATTCCTGGAAAAGCATGAGTGAAATGTGGGGAAAGGTAGGCTTATAAATAAAACACTTCCTAATTCCCACAGTGTGTTCCTGGTCTTCTAGGAGAAACAGGAATCATGACTTCTATCACCAAATATTTCTCACTAGAGTTTCGCAAAGCCTTTAAATTCACATTCACAATAAAAGGTGAGGTAAGAACAAACAAACTAGGCCAAAATATTACCTATACCTGACTTGCTGCATTTAGAGAAGAACTGAACAAAAATGACCATTTCTTAAGATAATCACAACCTTGAAAAATAATATGTAATATTTGGCCCTCCAGATATTGAATTTCACTTCCCATCGTCTCCAGCCAGCATGGGCAGAGAAGATAATGAGAACTGTACTCTAGCAATATCTGGGGTGCCACAGTTGGTCCATCCCTCTTGCAAAGTACTATTTTGTGCGCTCCTCTTAAGAATACACCAAAATGAAAAAATCTTATTGAACTATTTTCTCTTCCTGAACACCACAGGAGCTGTGACCAGAAGAACGGATGCTTTTTCAAGCAAATGTATTTGTAGCTGTGCGAGACTATCCTTCCACAAACTGGTGATTTTTGCTTGCAGAGGTTTTTTCCCCCTTCTACTTCTATATAAATGAAGAGATGTAACATGTCCCCTAACCATTAGACTGGGATTGTATACTAATGGGACAGAGCATTGAACTAGCTTTCCTGAAACCATCTTAACATCCAAACGACAAGAGAATTTAAAGCTAGTTGAAGAAGAAATTTTGAAACATGAGAATCCAGATGTTACAGGTGTGAACCCTAACCCCTTGTTGCTAATCAGTTAAAAGCAGGAAAGATTGTGGAATGTGGATTAACCTGTCAAAACAAATATATAACAAATTCCCATAATCTGAAATTAGAACATTGTTTGCTGGCTGATTGAAAAGCGGGATTTTCATGTCTGTCATTCACTGGCCTTCTCTGAAGTTTTTCTCCATGTGGCTTTTATTGGCTGGAAACTGAGAATTTCTGAGTTTCACATGACTCAAGAAAGCAAGTTTGATTTAGCTAAGAACTGAACATTGTTTATTTGCTTCAGGAAAGAAAACACAATAGATCCAGATATATTTCTCAATTGTTCATTCAACCACATAGTATAACAAATATCCCAGCAATTAATGAGTGTAAATTATTTTATTTTTTGGTTGGTTGCAGGTAATTTCTGACTCTTTGCTAGCCCCATAGAAGATGCTTTTACAGAATCAATATTTGGGTCCAGAAAAAAATGTGTTTGTTTTTTAAATGTTTTTTTAATGTATTTTCATGAATGTAAATGAGCCGCTATTTATTGCAAGCGTGGAAACATCTGAAAAGAGAAAACAGGGACTTTTTCTCAGGATAACCTATGAGGAATGTTTGGACTTTATGGAGATATATGAAAGGGTTTTTTTTTACATATGCACAAACACAGGCTGTTTTCAGATATTGTGAAGTGGATGGAATAGAAAATCTGGTTAAAAAATAGATAAATGTTCTCATGATGTCCATGTATGTCTAAGCAAAGCAAGATATTCTGATGGTCTGTTGTAGAATTCCATTGTGAAAACCTAAAGAATTTCTGCTCTCAGGTATCCTTCTCTTGACTCTCTAGATCTATTTTCTTATTTCCAAATTCTACGTTTTCTTATTTGCATGTTGTTCCTTTCAATCTAGGCCTTTGCTCCACGTGCCGGCCTCTTTCATTTTCTCTGCCTCTGCTCATCCAGAATCCAAACATCCTTCTTTCTATACATAGCTCAACCAGCATTTTAAGTGGTGAAATTCAATTTTTTTTAAAATATCGGTTCTGTGGGCGTGGCTTGGAGGGTGTGGCAGGGGAAGGATATTGCAAAATCCCCATTCCCTCCCCACTCGGGGGGCAGCCAGAGGTGGTATTTGCCAGTTCCCCAAAGTACTCAAAATTTCCCCTACCGGTTCTCCAGAACCTGTCAGAACCTGCTGCATTTCACCCCTGAGTTCTTTTAATATCATCATCTCATACAAAGAGGTGAGGTGTCTAGAAGGAGATCAGTAACTTGAGGTTTGTGTAGCCAAATCCAGGGTTTAAACGAATTCCTGTATCACAGCAATCAACAAGAAGGAAGTGAAGTTGCAAAAAAGGGATTATAGGCAGAATTCTGTGGGTTTCCACAGAATTGTTTAGAAAGTGCCACAGCTAAATTAACATATTAGAAGATATTGTGGTTTTGTCTTTCTCTTCTCCTAATATTTGTCTTTATTACAGTATTTATTTCATGTTTTAGAGCACTTGCTTCCACCATATTAGGCAATGATTGTTAGAAACACACCCTGATACCTTTATAGATTAGATTAAAACATATTAGGTCACTATTAAAAGAAGGGTTTAAGTTGTTAATTCTCTCTACTCTGGTACTGGAACTGAGATTTGAGATTAAAAGAGTACATTGTTTGATCCTGATGGGATAAAATAGGCTCTAAGGTCCCCTACCATCTACAATTTCTTTTTTCCTATTTTGTTCCTTCTACTTTAGTTTTTCACCAAACAAAGGCTGTTAAGATGGTGGGGAAACAGCCATTACTAATGCTTTTTGATTAGTCCTTACCAGCCTAGTCTGTATCCTTCTTTTCTTCCTGTCAGATGGCCAACTAAAATCCTTTGAATCAAGGTGGAGGATTAAAGGATAGAGTTATAATATAATCAAGGATGTTGTTACTACTGTAAAGGAATATTAACAGGCACTTGGGGAACCAGTTTCCCTCGGGAGTTTAGAAAAATATTGGGAACAAGGAGTTACATTAAAGGAAACGTTTACGTTAATTTTCTAAGATTTGAAGGCTGGACCAGAAAGAGTTACTCCTGTCCAGCATCACAAACGCTGGCAGAAAGGACTGGGACTTGCTAAAATAGCCGGGGTATCCTATAGACACTTTAGATTTGCTTGTTCTGTTGTCAAAGGCCATGGCTGGATCCCAGATCCGCTGCCTGGAGAGCGAAGAGCCATACATTAAAGTAACTGAATCAAATCCTGAATTTTATTATTGTGAACGTCAGCGGTTGGCCCTTGAAGCTCTACTTGCCAATGGTGAGGAAGCCTTCAATCAGTGCCTCTCCCGTGAAAAGCTGCGCCCCTTTCTGTCGGAGGGTGAACTGCAGGAATTAAAGGCTGCAGCAACAGCAGAAGAATTACAGGCTCCTCCTTCAGGCGGAGCAGGGACTTACAGCTTTGGAGCGAAGGGATCTAGTCTCAGCTACTGGCCTCAGCGTTCAGATGATCCACCCCCAGAACTGGAGCTAGGGTGGCCAGAAAATGGGGTTTGGAGAGGAATTACCCGAGCGGAGGTCTATACCCACCCACCAGGAGAAGGAGCGCCACATATTAAGGAATTGGTACGCAGCTGTATCCAACAAGCCCACAAGGTATGAAGGAAAGGTAGCATTGGGCATTTTCCACCTTGAGGTGGAAAAAAAGTGAGAAAAATGTGGAGAGTTTTAGCAAAGCTATTCTGCAGAAAGTGGCATATTCCCAAAGCAGACATTTTCATATTATTGTCACACACACAAAAATCTTTATCAAATTATCTTCCTTTCCAAAAAGGCAATGCATTATCAATTTCCATGTGCATTGTAAGCCAGCATATCAGTAAAATAATAGTTTAGAAGCATAAATATGTTTTTGTTTGAAGATACTCTGGTACATCATGTTTGATAGTACACCATGGTAGTACATCACGCCTGCCAATTCCACTTTGGAAAAGCATAAATACTAGTGTGTTTTAATGTACTGGTCTGATAAGTGAGGTGACTTCCGATTCATTAAAATTACATTTAATACATTAGTCTAGCTAGCAAAAGATATAACCATAATATCCTTGAGTTATGACTGTAATTTGAGCCTGCCTATAACAGTTGTCACCTTATCTAGGAACGTCAATTACAAAAATATCTATGGAGATTCTCAGTCATCCAAGTCATGGCTATCCCAAATGTGCTTTTTCAAAAAGCAACTGGATTTTCTTGTTTTTCCTGGAAGATGTTTCGCTTCTCATCCAAGAAGCTTCTTCAGTTCTGACTGGATACTTCCATTTCCCACCATCCAGTCAGAGCTGAAGAAGCTTCTTGGATGAGAAGCGAAACACCTTCCAGGAAAAACAAAGAAAGTCCAATTGCCTTTTGAAAAAGCACTTTTGGGTCAATTAGAATATTCTCTTAGGTTCAAACCAGCCAAAACCCAAAGATGTCTGAGCCCCTCACCACCATCCAGACCTTCCGCACAGCCCTCAAGACCTGGCTATCCCGTCAGGCCTGGGGATAAAGATTCTAATCCGTCCCCACCCGAATGATGAATGAATGTTGTGTTCTATTTTTACTTATGTATTGTCTCATGTCTTGTCTTGTATTCCCCTCCCATAAATTGTAAGCCGCCCTGAGTCCCCTCAGGGAAAAGGGCGGCCTATAAATAATAAACAAAATAAAATAAAAATAAAATCAAGTAAAGTATGTGCACCATGGGTGTTGGCAAAGAGGACGTATCAAAACAAATCAAGATGTTTGAATCAAAAATATTGACTTTTTAAAAACCTCCTCTATCAATATCCTGATGTGCACACTCTTGATTCATATAATTCTGCACTCTGGATTTGGCACACTTTACTATTATTTTAAGGAGATTTAATTTGGGAAGCAAGGTTGCAAACTTTTTGCTGGTCTCACAAGCAAACTGTTTCTTTTCTAGGTGATTGCTATAGTCATGGACATTTTCACAGATCCTGATATTCTCTTAGATCTGTACGATGCAGCAATCAGGCGGAGGGTACCTGTTTATCTTGTGCTCAACCAGCAGCATCTTCGCTCCTTCCTCTCCATGGCTGAGAAAACTTGCCTTAATGTCCGTCACACAGAGGTGAATAGGGGAAGCATTCCGTTTCCAAGCAGCACACACTGGAGAGCAGAATCTTAGCATGGAATGAGTTCAATTAATTATCATATGGTTTGCTTTTAAATGCCCTCTCCCCCAATACACATGCATTAATGTTGGCATTAACTGAATGTAGGACCAAGAGTTTGTCAATGGGAGTCTTTAGAACTAGTTTTACTCAGCAAATAGTTTGAAACATTGAGGGTTCTCTGGTCAAAATAGGTAGAGGGATTGAGAATGGGATTTATATCAGCTTCATCAAAATCATAGCTGTAACTTCCTTTAATTTTAAATGCAAAGTGCTTCTCTTCTCATTGGATTTGCAAAGCTTGTTAATTGTATTTGTTTAATGTTGGTTAGATAATATATCATGCAGGGGTTAAGAATCTCCAAAATATTGGGTTAGACTCTGATTCCAAATCCTGACTTGGCTACAAAATTGACTAGATATCCTTTGTGAAATCTACTTTATCAAGTTATAGTGCTAATAAAACGATGAAGGTATCACAGCTAGATTGTTAAATCTGCCCACACAATGAGATCTAGTATGAAGGGCTTACTAGGAGTCTCACATTAGAAAGAATGATATATTTTGTTTTACTAGTCATAAGCCAGAGTCCTTGAGAATGGAGTGGCATATGAGCCATATAAATAAAGTCAGAAGTACCTTGAAAAAAAGATGGACAGCAAATAGAATAAAATAAATATGATTAGCATATTTTAATTGTACATATGCAGTGCAAGCCATTGGGGTACCTTCTTGTATTTCAGCCAATAGAAAATATAGTTGATTTCTTTTAAAGGTAACATTTTTTAAGGCAAAACAATTCAAGATTATTGAATTAAAATGCTCCCCTTTTGGGTATGTGAGTCAATATTTTTCAATGGTGGCATTGAACTAATTTGATATCCCTTGAAATGTGGCTTGGGGTACGAAAAAAAGTCTGCAAAATCTTTAATTGTGGCCTTTGTACAGATCTTTGACACTGAATCGATCAGTTGGAGCAGCTTTTCAAAAGATGCTGTTTTCTAGATGAGCAGGGCTGGTCAGTGATGTTTCTTGTAGATCAATGTTTGTAGGTCATTGGTTAGAAATCTTATCAATGGACTTGCTGGTGTTGGAAGAAATGTCCATCTGGGTTCAATTCCAAGTGGGAAGAGAGACATTGGAAACATGGAGACTGCTTGGAAAGATGGTTTAACAGTGGACAGGACCACATGGTTTGAGATCCTGGACAAAGAAAAAGCACATGGGTGGGAGAGAGAGAGATGTATGCCCTGTCTTGGGCTATGCCTTAGAGCTTCCTCTTCCTGTGTAAGAAATGTATTCTGATTGGTTGTCAGACTCCCATGGGGCCATGCAGGGGTAACCTTGAAGAGTCCCAAGCTTGGTTGAATCTTGCTGGGTGATGTAATCTCCCCAGGTGCCATGTGGTGAATTCTGTTGCTAGATGGGCTAATCCTACCTTTGTTGGATCTTGGGTGAGGGCATTTGCTTATGAATAGATCTAGCTTTCTCCTTATCGCTTAAGTGCTGACATCTGCTGTGGGCTATTGAGGAGGGTGGAAGCTATTAAGAGTGCATCTGCTTCCTGCCTAAAAAACATGTTTCTCCATTTCTCACCCAGGGAAATATAATATTCTCCCTTTTTAATATTTCATAGAATATTTCATTCTTCTAGGAGAGGGGTGGGTGCTGGAGGTCCCTATATCTGGAAATTAGCATGGTTAAACAAATATTGTTCTGGACAAATAGGAGTAACTGATTATCTAAGTGCAGTGTATACATTATACTGATTTATATATAGGCTTTTTTGCTACTGTACTCTTGCATAGAACCTGCGAGTCAGAACTCTTCATGGCTGTTCATTCCAAAGCAGAAGCCAGAAACAGATCACAGGAACCCTGAAGGAGAAATTTCTGCTGGTTGATGGAGAAATTGCAATCACCGGCAGCTATAGGTAAGAGCTCTTCCTTGCTTTTCTGTGCTATAAATGAAGTTGATGTGGATCCTGGATCCAGAAAGTGGCGAAATCATGAATACTTTATAGCTGCAAGGTCTGCAAACTGCCTCTCTGGGGATGTCAGCTTTTGATCAAGAGCAGTCCTGTGCCCTTAAGAGTATTTGAAATCAGCAAGTGAAGCTTTTCTCTGCATGAATCCGATCACTCATTAAACTCTGCGTAATATTCTCCTCTCTTGGGAAGGTATGTGACTCTCAATTAACAGGCAGCAGCTTAATTTGGTAACTTTCCAAAGTTTCTCAAAAACCAAAGTAAGTTTACTGCTTCATCGCAAAGCAAATTGTAGGGAATTAATTACAAGACACTAGAATTGCAAATGGAGATATTTACAGCTCGAAACAGAGGCTGGTTGTAGGAATTCATGAGGAATGGTGTGTGATAGAAAGAAATGATAATTCGAAAGGAGTTCTGCTCTCATGTTCATGTTGCATGGTTGCGTTTTCCAAAAGAAGATTCCTTGCAGTGGTGGGATTCAAATTTTTACTACCGGTTCTGTGGGCATGGCTTTGTGGGCATGGCTTTGTGGATGTGGCAGGGGAGAGATACTGCAAAATCCCCATGCCCTCCCCACTCCTGGGGGAAGGTTACTGCAAAATCCCCATTCCTTCCACACTCCTGGGGGAAGGTTACTGCAAAATCCCCATTCCCTCCCCATCCCACTAACCTGCTTTCCAGTTCCATTCTCCTGTTCAGGACAACAAAAGATCAGCTGGGAGGCAGCAGGGGCAGGGGCAGCCTGTTTGCCAGTTCTCTGGACTTCTCAAAATTTCCACTACCGGTTCTCCAGAACCTGTCAGAACTGGCTGAATACCACCTCTGATTCCTTGGGTTGGTTGATCCATGCAGAATTTCCTTGGTTTAAATTGCTTCCAGGCTCAAATAAGCATGAGCTGATTTTAAATTCCTCTGCCTGCCATGAAGATGGTTATGGCCATGAAACCAAAGGGAAACTTGATGCTCCTCGTGGTACAGAAGGATAAACTGTGATGTAATGGAAAATAACACAAGAACACTTGGGGCACAACACATATTGTTAGTCAAAGACATGGCTAACCACCCTCTTCAATCTTCATCACTTCTGCTCAGCCTTTGGTTATGGTCTCCTCATCGTAACTTCTAGGATCAACCCAGTGAAGGGACTGTCCAGATGGCACTGTGTTTGGGGATAGATAATGTCAGAACGATGCACCAAGGTTTATTAGAATAGATTTCTGGAGTTATGGGAGTTAGAATTCAGCCACATCTGAAGGTGCAGAGAGATTCATCCGCCTTCTCTAAAAGTATTGGCTCAAAAGAAAGGACACCAGTTTTCCATTCTCAGTGGAAACATAGATAATTGGATTTGTATACATTCTCCATGTATAGATATGCTTATATAACTTTCTGCATGTTATTTCTTCCCACTATGACTTTGAGATGTTACGTTTTTGGAGACAGGGAGATAGCACTGAGAGCACCATAGAAATATTTTGATACACTCAGTGTCCATGAATGGGCTAGAAATCACATGAAGAAATAGACCAGCCAGATGCCAATCTTAGCATGTTTTTCTCTACTCCCTACATCATCAGAAAAGTATTCTAGCCTAAATAGCATTACCCAATGGCTGAGCTCCATCCTGCTTCAGGAACGAGATGAGCAAGTATAGCTCTCCTTATCTTTTTAAGGCAAGGCAAATTCAGCCAGCATCAGATAGATATTAATGGACAGGTCCTTTTGCAGAAGTCAGGTGCCCATTTTTTTCTACAGGCCAAGCCAAAAATTCATATAAAGCAATGCCCTGTGACTAGAGGAAGTGTGCCCACTGTAGCTACAAATGGCCAATAGTAGATCCCAGCTCCAACTGTGTCAGCCACCGCATCATTGATAAAATATCCTAAATTGTGTCCATGGTAAAAATTAAGGAGAGGAAAACTATTATTTTGAAACTGGAAGAACTGAGATGACTTTTAGGTCTCTTAGCTGAGTTCTGGGGAAAAGACCAGGGCAATATCAGTGTATCTTTGTACCATGATTAGGGACTGCTCAATGACGTTGCAAGGGGTTGTGGAACATCAAGATATGTAACCAAGTATTAGTTACGGAGGGAAATTAATAAACACTATAAATGCTAAACAGCTCTAGGATACTTGAATGAAGGTTTAAAACTTGATCCCTGTCAGTCTGTAGGGAGAAACAACCATCAGGACTCCGCATTCCAAAGATATTACAGAAGCTACGGGTGAAAGGAGAAGGTACAAGATAATTCACGAAATTTAAGATTTGAGATAACGTGATTATCATGGGTCCATTAACGGCCACCCCCCTCCTAGTGACTTTAAGCATCTTCATAATATTACTCAGCCCTCACTGAAGTGATTAAAAAAAATCATTACCATTATTCTGGCCCAACAGTTGAGTGTTTCTATAGACCTAGATTTTTCAACCAATTAAGGTTACCAGGGTTAAAAAAAACCACTAATACAGTTGCTTGCTAGTGGAAAAGGGACGTAATAAATAATAATACATTCAAAAATGGGCAAACAGGCTTAAGTCACCTCTTCTTTCACAGTTCCAATGTTTTTCCCCCCTATAATAGCAATAGCAATAGCAGTTAGACTTATATACCGCTTCATAGGGCTTTCAGCCCTCTCTAAGCGGTTTACAGAGTCAGCATATCGATTGAGTCAGCAACTTGCCCCCACAGTCTGGGTCCTCATTCCACCCACCTCAGAAGGATGGAAGGCTGAGTCAACCTTGAGCCGGTGAGATT